ATTTAAACCATAGGCAAGTTTTAAGAATACAAAATTAATGCCGATCTGTTTTCAATATTTAAAGTTAAATATTCTAGATTAGTATAATCGTATTTTTGTTCATCTTTTTATAATACTATCCAAGATTCTTTTACAATAATTGTTTTACCTCGAAATTTTTTAGTGTTATTGCTTCACGCAATACAAAATTTTTAGAAAAGTTAGCAATTAAATTATACATTCATCAATTTAAGAAAGCTCTATTCAATTAAAGGATTTAGGTAGCTCTTATATGCAAACTCTTGGGATTTGCTTTTTAAAATTGTTTTATTTATGACATCAAATACTGAATCAGGATATCGATCAATAACTTATTAATGTATTTGTATGGCTGTTTTAAGTGTGCATGCTTATTTTTTATTTTAGCATTTCAAAGGATAAAAATAAAATCTCAATATATCTAAATAGAAAAATGAGTAGCATGAAGGAGTGTGTTTATTAAAAAAACTGTTATTTATTTTTATTTTAATTAGTTTGCAAGAATATGATATCTTTTAATGCACAATGATAACTTTATTGAATTTTGGATATATTGGATATCTATTGTCTATAAAATAGTATATGCCAAAAATTGAATTTTTTGGACTTATTTGGACGGAAGCTCCAGTAATGCTTGTTACATTTACAAGTTTAGTCTATTGCCGTGATTTTTCGGGTTATTTAACATCTGACTAATAAACTGATTTAGGTTTTGGATAAATTGGAATTTTTATTCTAGGCTTATTAGGACCACTAATTTAACTTGGATTCAAACTTTCAAGAGACCTTTAATAATGTTATCAAAAGAATAAATAGAAGCCTGAGCTTCTATGATCTTTAAATTTTAAATATATCTATCATTTAATCCAAATATTATTTTATTATTTAGATACACAAGAAAGAGTCAAATTAATTAATCCAATCAGAATCATTTAAATCTATAATTAATATTTAAGTTTAGTTACAAGCCTAAAAATGGATATTGTACAAGAATTCTCTTATAAATTACTAATAATATGCAAATGTTCATTTCAAAGCATTACTTAAATTATTTATGTTCATTATTATTGAATTAATGATAATTGTCTCATTTTTCATTGATCCGGATATCAACATAAATAAAATTCAGATATATTATTATTAAACTCATGCAAATTCAGTTAATCTTTTCAATTGAATTCAAAAACTGCCATTAAGGTAATTAGAAATTTTATATCCACAAGAAAGGTTAAAAAAACAACGATTAAAAGGAAGTTAAGGATGAATAAATTGTTTAGCAATGAATAAAAATGAAAATATGTTAAAATATAGTGGTCATGATTTGCTGAAAAAGTTTGGATCAAATGACCAAAATTTTGATTTGCAAACTTAAAACCAAGAGAATATATGCATATTAATCAATTAGATAGCTTTGAAAAAAGATTCATGATATCTTTGTTGAAATGTGAGAAAAAAAGGTGATTTTAGGGAGTATGGCAAATAATGGAAATATTTAAAGACTTAGAATGATAGATCAGCCTATAATAGAATCATTTTATAAATATCAAAATATTTTAAATACAATTAAATCTATAAGTATAAAATAAATTATTCTGATTATGTTCTATTAGAATCATATAAAAATATATTTAAATCATTATATAATTTTGATGTGGTTTTGTATATTCCTAGTACTAAGTTTCAGATTTGAATTTGTCATGTAATTACAATAATAAAATTTAATAAACTCTAGTATGATAAAAAAATACGAGACCTTAGATTATGAGTACACATCTAAACACCTGATCAGGAGCTTTATGCTGTGCTTTTCGAAGTATAGTTTATAAGATTTTTTCCACGTACTTAGATCTCTAAAGTTTTAATCGGAACATTTCATTGATTTAGGGAAAATTATAAACTCAGTCAATGAACAAAGCAACGACGAGGAGAAAAATTAAATGTATTGGGAACAAAAAGGAAAATATAACGAGTTTCCTTAGAAATTTATTAAATACTCTGGTAAGGGCAACACTAATTAATTCCAATATAAAGAATAATTTATGAAGAAGGAGGAATTTTATTAAAATCAGAAAAGGTTCTCGCTGATTATTTAGAAGTAATAATATAAGAGAAAGAGAAAGGAAATTAATAGCTTAGATGTGGATAAATGTTTTGGATAATAAAGAAAGAATGGGAAGTCAAAGAATTAGAAAATATGGTGAATTCCTTGAGAAGTAATTAGTCCAATTAATAAATCTAGAAGAGATTATAGAAAGTAAAAGAAAGTATTACTCAGCAAGGAAAAAGGTTGATTTTGGAATTTCTTTAATTATATTCTGTTTGAATTTAAGGAATCAAATTTTTATTTATGGACTTAAGGTTTTATTCATTGTTAAGGTTGTTTAGATATAGGTGTAAATTACAAATTTAAAATAAGACTAATAGCTATTAAGTTATTAAATTGATGATGCATTTAATAAATGCAATAATCATTCCAAACTAAAAAAAATAGAGTAATTAAAAATAGCTATATAAAATAATACAATAGAAAAATAAACCATTCGCAATTCTAAAGATCTAATACTTAAAATGTTTGTTGCTATTTTAGTAGCAGTGATAATAATTTTGAAAATGATTTATTGTCTGAAAAAAAATTAGAATGAGAAAAATACTAAAATTGTAAGCGAACATCAGAATAGATAGATAAGAAACTTAATAGGCTAAATAAACTTTCAATAATAACATAAATAGAATCTTTTAGATTATCTAACGAAGAGTCATCTGTTAATTTAAATATTGCAATTTTGTACTGTTATTAATATTAATGAATAAAAAATAATTCTACTTCTATTGATATTAGTAAATAAATCTGATCAGCATTTTAGTTGCTTAGAAAATTTGCATAATCGACTAAATTTTAGCCATTAAATAAACTAACAATTACTTTTCTGTTATTACTTTATACAGAATTCTTTCTGAACCTTATTTATTGATCATTCATCTTATTTTATTGAGTCCCTCTAATATTTACCCTTAAATATCCTTACTTTTGAATAAATTGCCCGATCATCACCTTGCTAATCAATTTCTAAACTGAAATCATTAAACTAAGAATGTTCCCTTCATTTAATATGATTCATTTTTTTCAATATCGTTAATAATTTCCTCTATTGAAGATTGTTTTATGATTCCATTATTTATTTTTTCCTATATATTCACTGAATTTATTTATTTTTTTGTTCAAGCAATTGATCTTTAAATTTTTAACTTAATCAATATATCTATTATGTTTATCAGAAGGCTTTTTTTATGAGGTTTACTATTTGTGGTCTCTTAAATTCTTCAACATCTAAAAAAATAAATATATCTTAACTATCATTAAGATTGATTAAAATTTAAAGAATGCAAATGGTAAACCTTTTAAATAGCCCAAATCAATAATTTCATTAAATTATAATTGAGACTATAGCAATAATTTTGGCAAGCATTTATTTATTTTTAATTTTTCAGGAGTCCTGTTTGTTTTGATTTCTGGGCACTTTAAACCTGCTTTCGAATGTTTCTTCTATTTTTGAACAGTATTTTTTATTGAATAATATGATTCATATCTTAATTAATTGAATATGGTGATCAAAATCAAAGTATTATGAAAATGAATAATGAATTCTTATTAATAATACCTAAAATTATCATCATTTAAGTGAATTCTGCATAAAGAGTTTTTTAAGTAAAATTCAGACTATACCAATATGAACAATAACAATTATATACTTTTAATTAGACTGTAACATAAGCATAGAATCACTAACAATTATTCAAATCTAAATATGAGTGAATGTCTACAATCACCATGAGAAATTAAAACATTATAATCAATTTGTTAAAATTCAACTTTATTCTAAATCTAAAAATATAATTCATTTTCTGTTTTATATTCACTTATAATATAAAACTCTATAAAATATAAAATATTCTCAAAATAATTATTTCAAGTTTATTGGCTTTACTAATTCAACAAAAGATTAGTATTTATATATTTTGGAAT